CTTAAATTTTGTTTTGGGTTTTTTTCCCCCCTCAACAAGTGATTCGGGATAAGATTACATTTCTCAGACTCTCTTGCAGCTAGGTGTGGCTAGGTTATCCATCCCAGTCAATGGGATATGAAAAAAAATAGATACAGAGAACTTCCTAGCCTTATTCTCAAAAGAGAGGCATGTGGTTGGCCTTTTCCATCCTCTCTATCTTCCGGGGGAAAAACACAATGGATAAAGCTAGAACAGCCACACAGGATGACAACATGGAAGTGACACATGGACACAGTCAAGAAGCCGGTGTCTGGTGTCTGTGAGGTAGAGAGGTGAAGCCTGCACTTTGGTGAAACACGTTTTGGGTCTCCACCCAATAGGAGATTCTGTATCCTACAACTAATAAGCTTCCCCAGTAGCACTGGACACCCAGAGTCTAAGGCCTTAACGTCTCAGAATGAGCAAGTCAATACTTACTGAGACTCTGTAGTTTATTAAAGTCATCTCAGAGTCTTCACTCCCCCTCCCGCCCCTATGTTCTTACTGAGAGTTGTGACGGGATCATTTTGGAAGAACCAGAAGGTGACATAAAGAAGCCCACTCAGAGTGGGCCTGGTGTTATGTAGGAGTGACAAGCCTTGGGGAGCATTCGAAAGCTTTCATCTGCAAGGCTCGGGTCCAGCAGGGGAGTGAGAGGAGGGGCTGTGCAGGGACTCCGGGTGCTCGCAGAATTCCCTGAGCTCTGGTGCCAGCCTGGGTTTGAAGGCCCTGAGCTGGGGGCAGACTGGGAAGAAAGACGTGATTCACAGACACAGGAGGCTGCATAGGGCCGGGGTGGCGTCTAGAGTTGGAGTGCACTGTCTGGATCCCCCACGGTCACCAGAGAGGGAGGGTGTGTGACGCTTACTTAATGTGACAGAGTGACAGCGGTGACCTTATGGGAAGAAAAGGAAAAGTGCAAGCACGTATTTAGATAATGGCAACTGTCTCTTTACCATCTAAGCCCTCCTGAGGACAACCCAAGGCACAGTCGGGTCTCAACCTGAGGCTGAGGCAACTCGCTGTTTCCATATACTTTTTCCTTCCTTGGGGATCCCTCGAATGCCAGGGTATGGATCAGCCACAGGGAAGACTCTAACTCCAAGCCCTTGTCACTGGTTTGTGTCAACAGGGAAGCCAGGGCAAGGGCTGGCTACAATTTATGTCTAAAGCCAGCCCATTGAAGACAGCCATTCACAGCCTCCTAATGAGATAGTCTATTAGAATGGAGAAAACTAATGTAAATGCATCATTTTCCTGTTTCCTGGGATCCTCTGGAGAACAAGCAAGTTGTAATGAGATGTTCAGAGCAGACAGAAAGCACACATCATCTATGGCACAGTTAATACGGCCCCAGAAGAGCCAAGAAATGCCATCCCCGTGGCACGAAACATTTAGTACAAAGGGGGGAAACCCAAGTCTCATTCCCCACTTCAGGAATCACAAGGCAGCCTGGGAAAGAGACAGTGCAGAGCTCTTGGGATATGCCCAGGCCCTCACTGCTAGGTATTTCAGTCCTGGTGTAAGTCTGACCCCAGGAGTGGTCCAGAAGGGGCCTGAGTGTGCACATGTGTGCACAGGGGTAGCGGGAGAGAGAAGCCTCACACTGGCAGTCACCCCGAAGCAAGGCTCTCCCGGACGTGGGTTTACAAGGCTGATTACCAACCCTTACACACGGTGCAAAACCCTTCTCATTAGCACAAGGGTTTGTCAGACGCATGTCACAGCTGTAGCCGTAAATGACATGTTGCTGTAAAGCATCCGCGTCCCTAAACACCAGGTCCTGAGCCCGGAGCATAATTGTGTTCTTAAAGCAAAACAATGAGCAGGCATAGTTTCCACAACAGGCGCGGGTAGGCTGCCCAGGTTCACAGAGGACTCCTCCACGTGTCAGTGATCGAGCATGGGGAATCTGTGCCGGCAGCCTACACCAATGTGTGACTCCATCACTGTCACAGGTGAGGGGTCCATCGGACCCTCTCCCTCTGGCCCACCAGCCCCACATCCTTGAGACAATGAGGACAGTCCTCTGAGACCCCTTTCCCTCATCCAATAGCAGGCAGAGTAAGCCATGGAGCAGGCGGGTGTGCCCAGCAGTGTCTGCCACTCACAAGAGCTCCCCAAAAGGTTGAACAGGAGCTCTTAGCCCAACAGATCGCATGCTCCACCACACAGCGGAAGCGGCCTGAGTACTATTCCTTGATTATCGTGTGGAGTGGGAATATTGCCTGGCTCTGAGAAGGGGGGAACATGAAAGAAGCGGAAATGACCGGGGTTTCCCCCGGGTACTAGGAAATAACACTGTCATGGGACAATAGTTTGGAGAAGGAAGGAGACACATTTGTCTTCATTGCATGCCCTGAGGGCTTTTCTCTTCCTCCTCTGGGTGACAAACCATAAGAAACCCCTGAAAGCTGTCTGAGACCACGAAATGGGCCCATTTCTAAGTGACCACTCTCAGAGAATTCTCAGTAATGGCTGCAATTGGACGTTCATCTCCCCCGGAAGGGAAGGAAAGCCGGGCCGTAAGGGAAGGAAGCCGGGCCCTAGGCACACCATCTCACTTTGACTATTCTGTACTCCAAGGCTCACAAATGTTCCGGGGAGCAGGCTGGGAAGCAGCTCCGTGGTGGGGTGCATGCTTAGCATGTGACCGATGCTACGTGTGATGCCCAGCACTGGAGTTTCGTCTTGTTTGCAAGCTGCAAGCCCCGACTAGACTCCAGTGCAGTTGAGGCTGAAACCCCTTCTAGAAGAGAAAAAGTCTTAAATCCTTGCCTGAGACATGAGAAAGCACCCCAAGTTCTAATTAAACTGGAGCAATTAGCCACCCACGGATCCTTCACTCAGGTTCCCGCGGCCGGGCAATCATCTCCATTAAATCCCATTTTAAAATAAGGAGCAAATGCAGCAGCTACACCAGCAGCACCCAGTTCTCAGAATCAATTACCCCTTTAGACACATCCTGTGAAAGCTCTCAGGAATCTGCCTGCGTCAGGCACGAGGAGGGAGCTTCAAGAAGCTGGCGGTGATCAGGAGACAGGACAGTGTGGGCTGAAAAAGTCTACCCCAGGTCTGGATCTCTCAGCCACCAGGCAAAGGGTGTCAACAACGCATTCATCAATGTCACCTTGAAGGACCACATCCAAGAAGGGGACGCACTGCCTGTGGGCTCTGGATACGAGTTCTCTGCGTGATCAGACCACTGCAAATGCAAGCTTCTGCAGTGCGGCCTGTCCCGCGTCCTAAGAGCCCTGGCAGCATGAGCACAAACCAGCCAGGCTCACCGGTGTCTCGAGACAGGCAGGTTCTCACCCACTAGGACTTCCTGGGATGGAGGGAGGTCAATGGCATCAGCCAAAGGAGCTTTCTAGACTCTTCTACAGCGACAACCACACACTTGTCAGTGGTAAAATGACTCAGACTTAAGCACTTGTCTCAAGAACTAGGAGAGTATTCAATGCAGGAACAGGATCCCATTAATCTCTCTCTCTCTCTCTCTCTCTCTCTCTCTCTCTGTGTGTGTGTGTGTGTGTGTGTGTGTGTGTTTTATATGGAGCATGGAGACTTCTCCACCATGAGGCACCCAGGAAAATACTGATCTTAGCTGGGAACGATTATGACTCAGGTCTACAATCCCAGCATTCAGGTAGGCCAAGGCAAGAGGACTGGCAGAAGTTTGAGGCTAGCCTAGGCTACACAGTGAGTTCCAGCTCATTCTGGGCTACACCGCAAGGCCTGACCTTCAAAAGAGAGAACAGGGTAAGGAGGGGCAAGGGAGGAAGGATATGGAGGAAGGAAGCAATGGCTCAGACTAGCTCTCCTAGAGAAATACGTTTTTTCCCTAGGAAACACTGAAGAGGAAAGCAAAATTGTAATAGAATACTTCATTTAACCCTGAGCTTCAGCGGTATCCTCACTCTGGCACATAGCCAGTGTAAGGATGGCAGAGACGTCCTAGGCTCTTCTCTCAGACATGGGTTTTTCTCGTGTCAGGCTGGACTATGCAGATCTAAGCTGTGTTTAAACCGATGGATGGCACAAGACACTCATTAAATGCCGGGCGATGTTCACACAAGTATTATCATCAAGAAAAGAATAAGGAGCCGGGCGTTGGTGGCACACACCTTTAATCCCAGTACTCGGGAGGCAGAGGCAGGCGGATCTCTGTGAGTTCGCTAGGACAGGCACCAAAACAATACAGAGAAACCCTATTTCAAAAACCCGAGAGAGAGAGAGAGAGAGAGAGAGAGAGAGAGAGAGAGAGAGAGAGAGAGAGAGAGAGAGAGCAATAAGGAAAGCAAGGCAGCCGTGTGAGAAGATGGTCATCAGTTTAGCTTGACTGTGCTGTGATCATTTCACTGTGTAATCAAAACACCACACTCACTGTCTTAAGACTAAAATGGACATAGAGCCTGCCATGGCTCAGTGATCTTAGCATAGCCGTATATGAAACAGTCTTTCGTTCCAAACTTAATAAAAATCAAGTAACCAGATGACCAGGTATACATAGAAAAAGCAGACTAGTGAAGGTACCAGACAGTAATAACTGACTCTCCTTCCCTCTCCCCATCTCTCTCCCTTTCTTCTCTTCTCTCTCCCTTTCTTTCTGCTAACAAGGTCTCATGTAACCCAGGCTGGACTAGCACTTTCTATCCAGCTAAAGACAACCTGTCGTCACTCCCTGAATTCTGAGATTACACACATATGGTAATCCCCAGTTTATACTGGTGCTGGGGATTGAACCCAGGCCTTCCTGCATGTGAGGCAAGCACTTTGCTAACTGAGCTACAGCCTCATTCCTCTTGTACCCTTTTTAAATTTGTTTTTCTCGATGAGCATGAGCTGATTTAAAGACCGCGAATACCACAACCCTAGTCTTCAGGAGGAAACACGATCTCGGATGGATCCACCTGCGCACTCACTCCTTAGCCAAGTTCCCTGGCTCCGCCCCCCTTCCCGAGTGCCGCCATACTCACAGCCAATCATCATGATGGCCACCGCGAAGATCTTCTCAATGTCTGTGGATGGGGCAATGTTCCCGAAGCCCACGCTGGTGAGGCTGGTCATGGTGAAGTATAGCGAGGAGATGTAGACAGAGTTCTTGCTGGGCCCGCCTTCCCACTTCCCCGAGCCGGACCCATTAAACTGGTATGGAGTGCCAATGTCCATCGCCAGCTGGTAGAGCCAGCTGTTGTTGCGGATCGTCTTGGTGTCCTCGTCAAAGATTTCGTAGTCCCCGATGCTGTACCAGATGCAGGCCATCCAGTGGGCAGCCAGCCCAAACACGCACACCAGCAAGACCAGAACTGCAGCTCCATACTCGATGTAGTGGTCCAGCTTGCGGGCCACTCGCCCAAGACGGAGCAGCCGCACAACTTTCAGAGAACTGAACAGGCTGCTGATGCCCTGGAAAGGGGGATGGACACGGCTTCAGAGAGAAAGAACACAGCTAATGCTTCACCCCTTCCGCCCCACCCCTGCCATCGGTTTAAGCATCCTGTACGTTTCCATGACGTGCGATATTATACAACCCTTAAAAAAATTAGAATCCTTTTTTAAAAAAAAGATATCATTTATCCTGATTTTATGGGTACAAATATTTTATCTGCAGCTACATATGTGTACCGGGTGCTTGCCTGGTGCCTGTAGAGACCAGAAGGGAAATTTCAGGTCCCTGGGAGGGCAACCGCAAAAGGCCAAGTGCATTCTGGGAACCAGACCCGCATCCTCTGTGAGAGCAGTTAACTAACTGCTAAGCCATCTCTCCATCCCTTTAAAATTAGAATTCTATTCCAAGGTGTACAGAATAGAGATTTCTATTTGGTGTTTTATGACTTGATTAAAAAGATAAACAAAACAAGGAGAGTTATTATAGATGAGAACAAATATATACATATATATATGCATCTTTCTGTACCACTAGTTATTTTAAGAAAACTTTCAAGGGTTGTATAATATTTCATATTATACAATATGAGATGTTTGGATTGTATCATATTTATTTCATGTGGCAATGAATTACATAAACACTGCATTGCACATAAAAAATAAATATGTGTGCATTATAAAGCAATCAGGAACCACAGGCTGTTTTTTTATTCTGTTTTCATCTATTTGATTATAAGTGCACACAAACACACACACACACACACACACACACACACCACACAGTCAGTCCAGGAAACGGAAATAAAGCACAGTGGTATGTAAAGAACACCAGGGTGGAAATTTGGGCCATGGTGTCCATTTGGACACTTCAGTGACCTGCTTGTGCTCTTGGGTAAACAAGGAGGGGGTGACCCAGAGCACCACACAGCCTTCCACAAACACTAACTAACCTACCAGCTCCCAGCACCTCCCACGGGAACTCGAAATACACTACAGATGCCACAGCGCTTGAACCCCTCCCCACGTGGTTCTTATTCTGATGTGATCCTAAGATGTGTGCACTGGGAATTTCTGTTAGGTTTTCTCACTTACCCTAAAAACAGACTAGAAAGCAAACAGCACAGAGATGTTTCTTTGAGTCAAGGCTCTGTCAGCCTTTACCTAGTAAGACCCCAAGGAAAGATGTTGCCCTTCATCATGGGGGATGCAGGGTTCCTCTCTTTTCCAACCACTAGGCAGTTTCTGTGCCTCCATGACTCTCTTACCCTCTATCCTCCTAAAGCCAATGCCCCAGGGTCAACTTATGGCAGGAGAAGGAAAAGGAGTCAATGATGCTTCCCCGTGTCTGTGTAAGGAGTCACCCTGGGCTCACTCCTCTTTGAGCGTCCATCACTCAGCTGTATTTCTCAGGCTCTGTCCATCTACCTGAATCCCTGTGGATGTCACTTCCAGGGAAGTTGTTCTTTGTCTGTTTCCTGTCTCATCTCCAGGTAAGCCTGTGTGATCTTGAAGCTATACCCTGGGGACGATGGACCTACAGACAAGCCTAGGTCCCCTGGACACTCAGCCCAAGCTAACTTAAGTTGTAGCATGTGGATAAGGAAGAAATCCCTGAAATAAGCACTGAACTGTGTTTCCCTTTCCTACCAACTCTGGGGTCCTGTCCAAGCAGACCCCAAAGGAGGCTGTGCAGAGAGCGGGGCAGGAGAAGTGGGATTTGCTGCCTTCTCAGAAAAATAAAACAAGGCTAGGCATGTGGCTCAAAAGGCAGACGGCTTACCCAGCTTGTGTGGAGCCCTGACTTTTATTCCCAGTGTCACAAAATAAATACAACAGAACAAATAATCAGCCCTCGCATCTGCAGAACTGGGATGGCTGTGACCGTTTCTTATCTATTTGCAAAGTCCACATCAGCACAGACGTTCCTGTCGGTGTTCTCTTCCCTCTCTTGAGCAACCTTGCCACACAAGAGTGGACAAGGCCATCACAGGGGTCAGCCGATAGGGTAAGGGGAGACCTCTCTGCACGGGGCACCTGCACCCCAACAGAGGGTAACCAGCTTCCAGTAACGGAGTGAGCAGCATCTACGGCTGCCACGAAGGAGATATTTTGGGAGGCAAAGGAGTCTTTGGGATGAGTCAGAAATCAAACATCACATACGCGAGCCACCCACACACCACCTCCTCCTGAGGGTCCCTGAAACCGGCTCAAAGAAAAGCTTGCTTCCTGGGGCAAAATCACCTTCTCACTTCTCCTAGTGCAAGTACAGTTCAAAGCAACTCGCGGCAGCCCAGAGGCCCCCAAAGGTGGCCTGCTCCTCCTTGACCCTCCCTTTTTCTACTCCCACGCCTCAGATGCACCACTCCACCACTCACAAGCCATCGGTGAGCTACATCACCTGTCTGATCCTCCCGCCACATCCCCGTTCCTCCCTCCTGCATCACAAAGGCCACCAGGAGACATCCAACTGCCACTCAGAGGCCAGGCCCATGTTCTAACCATATGTATGCCCCGAATGGCTCGCATGTCTACATGTGGTGCCTCATCAGGCTGGCCACCTGGTGATCTAAGCATCCCTCGGGCTTGTGGTGGCTGAACTCCACCACGAAGCTTCCCTGATGACCATGAAGTCAGAACCCATAGCTAATTCCTCCACAAGCCCATGGTGTTCCGTGCCCATTAGCCACTTGGGCATGACTGCCTGTGTGATAAAGTCCTCATTCCCCCAAAATGTCATCAGGAAGTACACCTTCCCAAAGTTAGAAGCCACCAGTCACCAGTCATGCACGCTAAAAGCAAGTGGGTTGGACAGCGTCACCCCTTATTTTGGAATCGAAGACACGACTCTGAGTCTAGAGCACAGCACATGTTCAGAAGGAGTCTTGAGAAAGCTTCTCGACCGACGGGGAGGTTAGGGCGAGCCTTCTCCTCCCCGCTCTATGGAGGGTCCGGCATGTCACTGCTGTCTCTCTGCACGGTGGTATGCCATCGCTCGGTGCTCCGGTAACTTCTTTTCCCCCACGCCCCCTACATTCCTGAAGTTCAGTACGCGAGATAAATAAGTCAGAACCCTCGAAACTTCCATTTTTATTTGAGTACATGAAAACCTGACAGCTCCATGGGCTAGAGAATCAGGTTTCCCCAGAGACTGATTGCAGAAGAAAAACCATCTCATGCTGCAGGTAGTTTTCTGGATGCTTGATGGGAGTCTTGACATTAGGAAAGGCCAGGGGTTTCCAGGTATGTTGGGAGATGTCATTCTGTAAAAATGTGTCTGACTGGTTTGAATAAAGCACTGTTGGCCAATAGGGAAGCAAGATAGGTGGGACTAGGAGTTGAGGAGGATTCTGGGAAAAAGAGACACAGAGAGACACCATGTAGCCGCCAGAGGAGTAAGAGGTCTGGACCCTTTTCTCCAGTAAGAGAAATACTTAGATTAACAATTATGGGTTAAATACACTTAAGTCAGAGATAGCCAGTAAGAAACCAAGCGAACGGCCAACAGCTTCATAATTAATACAGTGTCCTGTGTGTTATTTGGGGGTTCAGACACCGTGCCAGGGCCCAGCAGACTGGCAAGGAAGACCACACTCTACATGGGTGGGTCAAAGAGAACAGAGGAGCAGCAAGAATACAAGCGGCTGAGCTTCATCCCCGAAAGCCTCAGCTAGCCCGGTGGCAGACTGGAAATCTCAGTGGTTCCCGTGTGATAGTCCCAATGGATCTGAACTGAGAGGGATACCAGCAGGCTTCAGACCGTTCACTTTGGTTTGCCTTCACCTTGCTCTGTGTGCGTGCGTGCGTGCCTGTGTGTGTGTGTGTGTGTGTGTGTGTGTGTGTGTTGGGAGGGGGCACATGCACGTGGTGGCCAAATGATGAAGTCAGGTGTCCTGCTACTGCTTTCCACTGTCCCCTTTGAGTCAGGGTCTCGCACTAAAGCTGGAGCGAGTTAAGCAGCCAGGAAGCCCTGTGCTCCAACTGCGCTGGGCTACAGGCGCACACACGGCCGTGTCTGGATTTCTTCTTTATGTGAGTGCTCTGACCCAAAGTTGGGTCCTCACACCTGCACGGCAAGCTCTCCTACTCACTAATCCATCTCTCCAGGCCCCTGCCTTCTCCTCTAACTAGATCTACCAATTCTCTGCTTGGTAACATTTTTTTTCCCTGCCATAGGCATCGACACTAAAGTCACAGGCTGACGCCATTCTGTTACTGAAATACTGTTTGTAGATAGTCTCACCAAGCTCCGAGATCCACGGGGGGGGGGCACCATAGTAGTCATGGTGTATTAGAACTATAAAATACTCTTGGTGTCATCTCCCACCCCTATTGCTTGGGAGGCCCCTTCTCCAGCTCATGCTTCCCTGTGGTCACATGGTGAGAAGGTCTGTGGCCTGAAGCCTTGATGGACTGTGCTTGCCTGGGCACGTTGCCCATGTGGCTTCCTATCAATGCCTGCTCGCCCTATTATTCCCCCTCAAGCTCCGAAGCGAAGAACAGTGAGTTCTAGGCTCCACCCTTGCATCTTTCCAAACAAGAGTGACTTAGCACTCACAACAATGTCTGGGTTGGTATGTGCCCCTCCCCGAGCCTCCATGAATGGGGGCCCAATCACTCTTCAGTCAATACGGATGGGTGGAGCAGGTTGGCACTGTCTCAGTGCCCTGCGCCTCAGCCTCCTTTCACTTTTTATCTTGAGACGTAATCTCACCATGTTGTCCAGGCTGGTCTTGAACTTATTCTGCAGGTCAGAGGAGCCTCCAACTTGGAATCCTCCTGCCTCGGTCCCCAAAGGAGGCAAAATGGGAAGGCTGTACCATGCCAAGCTGAACTAATACTTATTGAGCCCTTACTCATAGCTCTAGCCCTGGTGACAGACCAGACCCAAACTTTTACCCTTCTAGGATTTTCAATTAAGAGAGACAGACATAGAATAAGTCGGAGCTGCCATGTGATGGCATCATAACAAATCAGGGAGAAATAAACGCAGACATACGAGGAAGGTGGCCGGCCAGTGT